GGCCTGAAAATGAGAGATTACATCCTGGGCATTATTTTTCCCAAAAAAAAAAAAAGTAACAAAATGAGTAACAACTGGGAAGAAAAGTATTTCAGAAGCACATACAAGACATTGCAGAGCTCAGACTGATGTAACAGCAATGCAGGAGGTTTCTTTGTAACAGGGCTTTGATAATAAACCATTAAAATAAAAAAGACAACAAATACGTAATCTAAATTGTTTGAATTTTGAATGTTTTTGCCCACAGACATCTAGTGAATATAAAGGTATATTTTTCCACTACCTCATATTAGAAACTAAAATAATTTAAACACTTTGAAGCCCACAAATATCAAGTTACTCAGCAGCAATTCCATGTAGTGATACTTTTATCAGTTTCTTGCCTTTTCTCTGAATTATGCCATATGGGTAAAGTTCTCACCTATTCCCTGCAAAACCACTGATTTATAGCAGCAAAGGATCCAAGATACTTGTTAAGCAAATAGGGGAATGCTCTTGTCTTGCTGAATGATAAAAAATACTCAGTTTCTCCACAGTGAAGTTTCTCAGTTTTGCTTGGTTAGCTTTACACATCTTTCAGTACATACTAACTTATAGCAGACTGCAACTAATCCATAACTGCATTAAAACACACAAAGCCTCACTGAGTAGGAAAATCAATCTTACCTCTTCTCCCACCAAAAACTCAGGGTGATTTGATGTGTTTGTCCACTTGGCCCCAGAGCTGTGATCCAATATGGCAGGCCTCATCTGTCTGTTGTAGGACCTGGCCTGAAATGTAACCAAACCAAATCCTCTTGATAAATATTTCACCAGTCATTTTTTGCGCATGGAAGAAAAATGAGATACCCCTTTGAACCCAGCCCTTATAATATACTTATAATATAAATTTTCTCATGTTTTCAGAGTTAGGTAGCACAATAACACTTATCCATATTTGGTCTAGAAAGGGTATTAATTTTTGTCCACTGAAGCATAGCATCTCACCCAAGGACTGTGTAAATGAACAATTTAATAAGACCTCAGAATGAGTTACCTGATCAGGTGACACCGGAATGCGCCTTGCTCCATTCGACATCTTTTTGGACCATATTGCTTGGTCCACCATTTTAAGGCCATTTTGTCTCTGCTCAGTACTTTCAGGTTTCTAAGGAAAAACCCCAAATATGCAATGTAAATACTTTCAAACCACGTCTGTATACTGGTAGTACTGAAGCTATTAGGAAACAATGAAACCATTACTGATTAAATTTAGATAATTGACAGAAATGTACAGAAAAATACAGATGATGTACAGAAAGGACAGATGTTTGTACAATTCAAAATGGACTTATGCTCATTTTTAAATAAACTATTTTTTATATTAGAGCTCCCAACACCTATTCAAGACAACTAGAATCTTTTAACTGCTTTTAGTGGCCACTGGACTTCATCTCTAGTGATGAGATCAGGCTATTATCTACTTAACTACAGACATATGAAGTAGGAGCAAAAATGTTTAAACAGATCTCAATTATTTAATGGTGAGGTTTACTATTAGAGAGGTTAGTTCTAAATTTTACAGATTCAGATTATTACATATGTCTTTTGACCAGGCTGGACTAAAATGACTTGCTGTGTTACCCAAGTCACTAGTAACCAACACATTCGAATCCCACAGCTGGCATTCCAGCAGAAGAAATACTGACTGTGGTACCAGACTTTAGCACAGGGAAATCAACATGTACAAACCCTCAACCTATCAATTCCTCGGGTTTAGTTCATTGCAAACGAATCAAATAAAACGCAAACACAGACTGGTCCAAGCCTACTGACTTCAGTAGGTGGCACCTACAGTCCTTAAAGGGGTGAAACACAAGTTTGACAGGAGATGAACTCTCTTCTGGAAAACCATGAAGGATGAAGGGCACACATGCACCACACAACAAACCAAACCGCCGCAGAACGGGCGGTGGGCAGGCGGGTTCCGGCGAGGCGGGGCCGCTTACATTGAGGCCGTCCCTGAGGAGCCAGCTGTCCCTGTAGGCCGCCTGGCCCGGCTGCTTGTGCCGCCGCGCGATCACGTGCGGGATGCCCGCGGGCAGCGTGTCCGTGGCCCGCCCGAGCCGCAGGGTGGTGGAGCCGGGGTGGATCACCACGATGAAGTTGCTCTGTATTTGCTGCAAGCGGCACAACGAGCACGGAATCAGAGCGAGGCCCCCGGACCACCTGGAGCCCTCCCGGCGCTCCCACACCCCCTTCCGCAGGCCTTTAAAAGGCCGAGCCCGGGCCGGGCCCGCCCCAGCGGGGAGGGAGCAGCGCCCGGTAGCCGCCGCTCGGCTCCGGCCTCACCTCCTGCAGCGACTCGGGCACGGCGGCGGGGACGATGGGCCGCTTCACGCCGCGCTGCTCGCGTTCCCGGTCGCGCTCCTTGTCCTTGCCGTTCTCCGCCTCGCCTTTCTCCGCCTGGGTCATGCTCCGGCCGGGCGGAAGCCGCGTCTGCCCGGCCCGAGCGGCGCCGAGCCCGGCGCGGGGCGGAAGCGGACGGGCCCAGGCCGGGCACCGCCCCCCAGCAGGTACCGGGAGGGGCCTCGGGGTCTGGGCCCTGCCTGGGATGGCCCCGCTTGGAGCGGAGCGCGGAGCTCCGGGCCCGGTGCTGAGGGGCCGGCTGCGGCACGGGGAGCCTGGGGAGCAGCCCCAAGCTGCCGTGGGTCTGGCGGAGCACCGGCCACACGCTCTCAGCTGGGCTGGTGGTGCTGGAGGGGCTGCAGGAGGGGCATACGGCCCTCCAACAGCTTAAAATATTCTGCACAAAGGCTGTAGTACAGCTGGTGTGCGTGGTACAGCTGTAAGGACTAACCATGTAAGGGTCTCCCTGTTTGTGGGCAGCGAGCTCCTTTATAAAACTGTGCAGAGAGGATGTTTGGCTGGAGCTGGGGGAGATGTGGTTTTTAAAGGCTCAAAGTTAGTGTTACACAGCCGAGTCTAAGAGGGATTTTGTGTTAGGTAGGAGTGGTATCTGCTGGCTTGTTAATTGAGGGGCATTGTTGATTAATCTCCCGCTAAGGACTGTTAAGGAATACATTCAGTGCAATAACAATAAGAAACTCCCATCCTGAAAAGGGGAATATCAGATAAAAGATAGTTACTATTTGAAAGACAATAACTACTCTGGGATAGCTGTCAGTATTTGAGTTGACCTCTTTTTTTGTTCATGTTATAACAACACCTAATTTTATTGTAAAAAAACCCCTAAATTTGTACAGTAAATGTTTTTACATGTTTCAGTAAGTTTATAGTGGAGAATGAAGCTCTTTCAAGAAGTGTTTCTGTTATAAAAACCATTATGGACCTTAGTGAAGCAAGGGTTGTAAAACAAAGTAATTTGTTAACTGCATTTTTGAAGTGCTTTTACAGTATCATTAATAGAAGGAAAATACAGCAAAGTAGAGAGTATTTTTCCTGAGAGAGTGAGTATTAAAGCTCTTAGGAATTGCTGTTTTGACTCTTGAGGGACCATCTCTATCAACTGTAAATATGTATTTTTTTCTCATCTGAATAGCAGAAGGCATATTGTACTTCAGATTTTTTCAGTTTCTAAAAATGATGAGAAAATCAGCCTTGTGACAAGCCAAATATAATTTACTTACAACTTTGCAACTACAGTAAAATGTTCAGAAACTATACAAAGACTTTAGACAGTAAACATGTATTTAATGAAACTGTGGCTCAGTTACACCGGATCCTTGAGGAAGGAGTTCCCAGCACAACTTCATTGATCTGCTTCTATCACAGAACAGTTTCCAGTCAGGCATACACATCTCCATTTGGTCCAGCACTAAACTCTTCTTTTCATCTGGCTGATGTGTATGCTTGTGCCTGCCTCCTCAGCAGGCGTTTACCTAAAAGATAAAATAGTAACAGTACATTTAAAGAAGCCTTTCTTTGTGAGATAAAATTAAGTAAAAAATTTAAAATTATATTGCTTTTAATTTAGCTAAATGAGACATGCTAAAGACTTGCTAACTTTATTTCTCAGCAGGTTACACATTGCTGTGAGTACCCACAAGCCATCTCCACAGTCTTTGCTGACCTTCTGTCTACTCAACAAGAAAAAAAACCCACAATGTCCCGGGGTTTTTCTCCCACTTGGAAGAAGCTTATCCTTGTTCCAGTGAACTGAAATAGTGGTGTCTGTGTTTCCTGGTATATGAACTTTTTCCTACAAGGTTTACAGGTGTTATCCACCTGCATGGGTTGTTTTTTTTCCTTGTAACTTTTATTATAGTAACAATGAGAGTGACTGATGAAAAACAAGGATTATATACTGAAGTCTTAAAGCAAATAAAACCATACTGTAAATATACTTAGTGTCAGCTGTAACTCCCAGCAGCCAAACTAATTATTAAACAGAATTAAATATCAGGCAGCTGTAAGAAATGTAAAACCTCCTTTAATTTTACCTTTATTTTTAAGCAATTCTGATTTTTACACTTTACTGGAATTCAAGATTGGTACGGCTGTGTCATTGTAATGGGGGAAAACCCCCCATTTTTACTGTCTTGTAACAACTTTATATTTTTCTTTCTTTTCTGTTGAGAAATATCAACTTTAGCCAAAACCCATCATATGTCATATAACTATTAGAAATGCAACAAATCATCATTTTCTAACAATCTGATCTTTAAATTAGCAGTCGAAAAAGATGAGAAGCCATAAATAACTTATCAGCTGTGCTCAAAAATCTTTGCTGCACTTTGTCCATCAACTTCTGTGCAATGAAAAGTGAAAGCCCACCATTCCTAAATCGAAATCCTTTTTAACATCCCTTCCTGCTGCTTTTTCTCCCTTTTACTGGAAGTATCTTTATTTCTTTTATTATTGAATAATTTTGGTTATTTTTCTGTTTTGGTAACTTGTGCAGCAGGAGGACAAAACACTCCATTCTACCTTAACCCTGAATTAACACTGCTATTAAAAAAACCCCAAACCCTGCAAAGCAGGATGCAGCAGATTTGGAATTACCTTCCTCATCCACCTCCAGCCATGGGTGGTGGACTGGGGCCTGCACCCCAGTGATTTATTCGGCCCATCCGACGGCGAGGATTTGCTGGAGGCCTGAAAAGAAAGGAGTTCTCCCTTCATTAAACTTTTCAACTAGAAATACAATAACTGTCTCTAAATGTCAGTAGTGAGAAAGTCTGAATCTCTGAAGTTGAGTTTCACCTGGAAAGCTGTAAGAAAACCCCAACCCCACTATCACAGAAATCCTCTCCTGTTTCATTACTGCTGTGTGATGTGAGAAGGCCACAGAGCACTGATGCTTTTACACAGTCCAACAAAACACTTAGGCTGCAGTGTTCATGGAAATTACACCCCTGTAACAGTGTTCTGCTTTAGGTAATGTAATACAAGAAATGACTGCACTAATGCAAGTCAAATGCTGAGTACAAACATGTCTAAGAAAATAAGATTTTAACAAAGCTATATCCTGTCTCCTAGGCAGGCTTCAGAAATATTTTCAGAGATGTTAGTCTGTCTGTACTGCTATTGCAGCTGTCCAAAGCTGTGTATTGTTACCACTAATAGTGCAGATAACCATTTTAGCCTTCCTGCACAACCCAATTCAATGCAAATCACAACTGTAATCTACTCAGATTCATGTCACTTCACCGAGATAGGGGAAAATGTGTGAATATGAAAAAAATACCCTCTTCCATCATGGTATCCTGAATAGGAGGAAGATGTGTAGCCTCTTCTTCTTAAATCTGGTTGAATAATGCTCTGGAAACTGAAAAATTAACACAAGGGTTAGGTGAATTGATAGCCAGGTACAGTTTTTGAATATTGTGATTGGAAAGAAATGGCCTGAAAAACAGTAAGTAGTGTTCAGGAATGAACAGTGTATCTTCTCATGATCACTGTTGTTTAAATCTTGGCAATTTGTCTCCTACATACGAAACTAAAATCTGAAATAATTCCAAATTACAATGAAGCTTAAACTATAAAATCTAAATTACATTATATATTTTAAATCATAATAATAATAAATTATGTATTAAAAATTATAAAATCTAGTTTCCTTGGTAATATGCAAGAAATGCATAAAGTATAAATTTATAACTGAAATCACTAAGAACTGTTTAAAACATCACATGAACTTTCTGTCTGTTAACTGGCTTTTTTCCAAATTTGTGTTTACTGTGTGATTACTTTTATGTAGTCAGAATCTATTGTCACCAGTAGAAATTCTCCAAACAGCTTAATTATTTGATCAGCTAGTAGATGCTTTTTAACAAAAGTGTATATTTTCTTTTTGCAGTGTCAACATAGATGAAATGTAAGAAAACTCATTTGAACTGCCAATAAGTTATAGTCAGTTCTCATGTGCGTTTTGTTAAGTATACTGTGCTTAACAGACACAACCACATAGTTGTAGTAAAGCATTTATACATATGGAATGGTAGAGAGTAAATATAATATTTTTATTGTTGTGTACTGATAGCACTGTGTAACTTCCACCTATGTCAAATCTAAAATGAAGCTCAGCAAAAGAATTAACTTCTACTTACAACAGAACCACAAAATCTGCTATTGACCAGAAGAAATCTGTTATAGATGACAACCTCCAGGGAGCCCGACTCTGGTTATCCAAAACTTGTCCTGTAACACATCCAGATACAAGAACTGATGTTCAGTGTGTGACACTGAACAGTGCATTACACAAAACCAGATCTGCTAAGTCCAGAGTTTGCAGCTGGGACGGTGAAACTCCTCTTCATGGCAGGGAGTTTCATTTTCCGCAGGTTACTGCCCACGTACGTCAGCTAAAGGATTCAGCACCGCCACAGGGGCTCTCCGTCCAGAAAACCCCCAGACAGCACCAGGCAGAGTCTGATTCCCCGTAAGCGGTTCAAGTGCTCCCGGTGTCTGCAGCACGCACTTGAACTCGTCAAAGTCCCCAAATCCGCTTTAGAAGCAGACCAGGCTCGGCCACAGGCCGCAGGGCAGCGCGGGGTGACGCGACACCGGCAGCTGCCAGACCCTGCCCGGCTGTCCCGGCAGCGGCGGCGCTGGGGGCGGCGCTCCGCGCAGCGCAGCCCCGGTGCCCCCGGTCGGTGCCCAGCCCCCGGCCCGGCCCCCCACCGCTGCGGACACACACCGCGGTGCCCCGGCCCCCGGCCCCTCACCGTTCGAGATGTACACCATGGCTGCCCGCCGGCCCGGCCCGGCCCCGCCCCTGCGCCTGCGCGGCCGCCGCGCGCATGGGCAGCGAGCGGTGACGGCGGCAGCCGCGGAGGAGCGGCCGGGGGGCTTTGGTGGCGCTGGGCTCCGCGTTCCCTCGCCTCAGGGCAAGGGCCTGAGATTAACGGGGTCCCGCTCAGGAATGCCTGTTATCGAGGGGTCCCTTCTGGAATGGTCTGCCTGGGGAGGTGGTGGAGTCACCGTCCCTGGATGTGTTTAAAAAAAGACTGGATGTGGCACTCGGTGCCATGGTTTAGTTGAGGTGTCAGGGAACAGGTTGGACTCGATGATCTTGAAGGTCTCTTCCAACCTTGTGATTCTGTGATTCTGTCAGCAGCCCTGTTACTAACGAGTTTTCCCTCGGCATCCTGGATAACGAGGGGTCCCCCTGAGCAGCCGCTGTTATTAACCAGGCTCCTCCCAGTGCCCCTGGTAACGAGGGGTCTCCTCACAGTCCCGATACCGGAACCCCTCAGCAGCCGCTGTTATTAACGAGGGGTTCCCTCACATCCCCGGTACCGGGACCCTCAGCAGCCGCTGTTATTAACGAGAGATCCCCTCACAGCCCCAGTACCGGGACCCCTCGGCAGCCGCGGCGGGGCCGGCCTGAGGCGGGCGGTGCTCAGGGAACGGCTCCTCCTCCGAGGAGGGCGGGTCTGGTTAAATTATTTATTAAATAAATAATATTATTATATAAATGATATTATTATTTATTAAATAAAATAAATAATAATTTATCATTCCAGTGCTGTTGGAGCTTCTCTGTCGCGTTTAGGATAGTAACGGGAGTTGGAATAGTCTGTCACGATTTCATAAAAACGAAGTGTTCTTAGTTGCCTTCTGCGGTAATGATAGAATTACAACCAAGTGCAGAAATAATTTAACATTTCTCTCCAAAGGGAACTTTTTTGCCCTGTATTTAATGACAAGTATGTGGCTACGTACATTATGTTCATGGGAATGTTCAACCCTAACTCGGGAATTTATTTTAATTTATTTTATTTTTATAAAAACCTTGGCCTGTAAATATTGGCTAGCATTCCTTTTCTAGGAGAATACACACTTGTAAAATTGGGGGTAACTATACAGCTTTATAGGCAAATTTAATATAATACCTTCTCTCTCTGAGTTTTTAAGCTGAACTAATAAAGAAGGGATGTTTAATTCTGATGTGAAACAGCAATTTAAAAAAATTATGTGAAAACACTTTAATACTTCCTTTGCAACACCTGTATTTTCCTAATGATGATGAGGTAAAGTCCTTTGCTAAGAGGGGAATAACAGAAGAGTGTTTTCTGAAGGTGAAATTGTAATACAACGTCTCTGACACTGCAGCTATCCCACAGTAAAAAAATTGTTTGCACCTGACAGGTATTTATAAATGTTCGATGTTTATGAATAAACTCTTGCAAACAACTGAAAGCAATTAGCAAAGAAGAGTGTCTGTAACATGTATGAGCACAGTTTGTGGTAATTGGGAGTGGGGCTGAGCCTCATCATCCCCAATGAGCTACAGCTGTGAGAAACAGATGAGCAGCATTAAAGGTAACGAGACTTGGAGTGCACTGACCAACCACCAAAGGGAGCAGAGGGCACACAGGTGCAATGCATCAACAGGAGGGGATAAAAGGCTGGGCTAACAAAGGCCAGACTCCTGCAGCCTCCTGAAGTGATGGGGTATTTCTCTGTATGGGCAGACTCCTGAAGCCTTCTGAAGAGGTATGGTGTTACTGTGTATGGGCTGAAACTTTCTGAAATTGTACAGGGATACTCTGTATGTTGTGGGTCTCTTCACTGTATGTTTGTTGCGACTGTAGCAAGGTATCTAAAATAAATGTTTATCATTATTGTAGGAGCTGGCTAATCTGCAACTTGCTAAAAGGTGCAACACAAAAGCATTTAGAAAATGGCGCCACATAGTGCAAAATGGGCATAAACACAGGCAGTATGTTAAAATAAGCCAGGGACGCCACCTCTGTACCTTTTGCTTTCCAAATGACAGAAAATCCTCAAACATTAAAAGTGGTTAGTGAGTTCTTAATCTGCTGTATTTTTTTTGTTGTTGTTTGTTTAGTTTTTTATTTGTCCTGGGGGAGAGGACTTTTTAAAGTAAAATAAAATGTGAGCTAGTCTTGGGTTTTTTGCTAACAGTGATAAATAATGGTTTGGCGCCCTAAGATTATATAAATAAAATGCAGTCTTCCTCTGTGACATGTACTTCTGGTGAATGAAACTAAAGAACTTTTTAAAAATTGCGTTATCATCCTGTCTTGGCCTGCCCTTGGATGGGTAGAGAGGAGGAATGGGAGGAGCTCTCCCTGTGCAGCTCAGTTTGTGCTAAGCACAGTTTGTAGTGTTGTTGGCAGCTCAGCAGGTGTGCCATGAGCTGTGGTGGAGTCACTCCTGGGAATGCTGTGACCCTGTGTCCCACTCAGGCGCACCTTTGGGGCTGGCAGGTTCAGAGGATCAAGGGGCTGTGCACCTGTGCTTAAAGAGCAGTGGCATTTGGAGAGTCAGCAGCAGAAATGCAAACCAGCTGTGTATCCTTGTGAGGGTGGGTGCTGTGAGCAGAGGTGTGTAAGAGCTAACAGTTACCAGCAGTGCTGTTTGGAAGCTGGGGAGCTGTGATTATTTGATAACAGGCCAAGGAAATATTTGTGAAATGCCATGAAAGAGTAGTATGGGCTGTACATTAAGACAAGCAATTGAAAAAGTCCAGTGTTTTTTACATTTACTTTTTTTTTAATGCCTTCTGAACTATCAATGGGATACTTTCTGTTTTTAAATGGTTTGAGCTTTTTGCACTTGGTTCCAGGTGCATTTGTATATTTTTCATTCCTTGTGAACTGTGTTTCATACCTATACCTAAGTACCCATGTCTGAGCTACATATTACTGTCTTTTAGCAATGTGTTCTATTTTTTCATGGAAAATAAGAAAACTACAGATCAGCTACTTTGATAGCATTGTCTATATTGAGGGATGATCTTTTTGTTGTGGTGCAAGAGAATCTGAAAATGGTGTGCACAGACTGGTGATACAGCATGAGCAGAAACTTGACCCTGCCCTGAAGAAGATTTGCAATGTACTGATCACATATAATAGCAGAAATAGAAAAGCCACTTTTTTTGTCTTGTTGGCCTATAGTTATTTCACATAATGATTATCATGTTGCACCAGCATACAGTTAAAATAGAAGCATTCAAAACTTAACTTGGACTTTCATAAAAGAGCTGATTGTTATGTAGTATTTGTTTTATGCACACAAAATTAATACTGTATGTCTTAGAGTGACAAGGTCTTCTGAATTCCACATTATGAATGTAGAATGTTTATTGCAACACAAACATAACACTCAGTGGACATTTCACAGGATTCTATTTATTAACTGCTTTTATTAGAAAAATTTAAATAACTTGCTGTTTGTGGAAGAGCTGATATTCACTTCTTGGGACTAGCTTGTGTTGATTTAATGACAAAATTTTAAGTAGACTTTACCTATTTAGGTAGCTTCAACCCTTGAATAATTGATTGAAACCCCTTTGTTTTTTTTTTTTTTTTTTTAAACTTTGGTGCTCCAGATAGAGATCTCTTTAACTGAGAGCCCACAACACATGAAAATATCCTGTGCAGATTTCAACTGGAAGGTACATTTTGCAAAATCAGCATCTCTGATCCTGGCATAAAATCAGGTCAAGTGCATAAGCACATAATGCTGTGGACGATTTTTTCCCCTGGCTGGTCAGAGACTAGATGTTCTACTGAAGGGATTTGTCTGCAAATTGTTTGTTTGTACAATTTCTTGAGATCTGAATAACAAACATGAAGAAGCTTTTGTGAGAAATGGTGCTGGCTTTTCATAATTTAGAAAGGTTTATTAAACCTTATCAAAAATACAACAGAGAACTGAATAGAGAAAAAGGCTGCTGTGCTGGGAGCTAAGGATTTTCCCTACCATGTGGTCACCTACACAATGGAGGTTTTGCCTTTTAACCCTTTAACCCCTCCCAAAGTTCTGTCTGTTGACCCCTTCTTCTCTGTCCAGTGTAGAGATCTTTTCCTCAAATCCTCATTGGATGTCAGATTCACCATAGTGCCATGCTGGCCCTCCCAGGTGTCCCAACCCTGGCTCTCTTGATAACCACATGAGGGGGTAAAACATAACTATAAATCTATAAAACTTTTCTTAATCTATAGAAATATTTGTTAATTTGTTAATTGTGTGTCAATCATCGCATTGCTCATCTATCACACTTCAGCTCAAAATTATTACAGTTTAGAGTTTGAAAGCATGTCCATGCTGGAGGAATGCCAAAGGACTGCCTTGCTTTTATATTTATTTAGATAATGGCGCATCCTTATATTCAGAAAGCCATAACAGGTGCCATATGTTCCTCTTAACAACTAGAAAGAACTGGAATGAAATTGATGGTCACCAATTTAAAGTTGTATGAGAGTCTAGAAAGAGACTTCCCTGCTCTAGGCAGAGTGAGTATTTAATGTGAGAGTGCTGCATTTAATGTTGGGGCAGGGAAAGAGCAGGTTACTCCCTGCTGGAAGTACCAGAGTGAGGAAATGCCCGGGATTCGGGCATGGGGATGCCTGCAGTGTCCATCGGGTGGCAGCGCGGGTGTGATGGAACGGGACCTGCCTTCTGTAACTGTTCTGCGAATGCTCTGCTCCTTTGGCACAGCACAGCTGGATCCTCCTTTAGAGAAAAGTCCTCACTCCGCTGCCACTTGACACTTTGTCATTCATTAATGGCAAATTCTTCCCGCGTCGAGGACTGGTGTCAGCTACGCTGATTTAGAATTTGTTAGAAGTTTCATATAGGCAGCGTTTTGGGTAAAGTGGGAGACATGCTTGTATGTTTACACATCATTTTATTGATGGGAATCATTGGGGTTTTTTTTTGTTTGTGGTTTTGTTGGCCTTTTTTCTTTTTTCCTCCAGCTCCACCTAATTCCCCCAATTAGTGGGATAGCAAACTTC